TTAAGGTTTATCAATTAAATCTCCAGCACTGGAAACTTATATAGAGACCACTGGTTTGGCCAGAGCTTCTAGACTGGCCTGGCGAACAAACCAAAATGGAGTCACCCATGCTAATGTCCATGACACCAACCTGAAGGTGAGTGGCTTGTGGCTGTGGGGCAATCTTGCGAGTGCAGTCACAGGCCAGCTTCCAAGCAGGTGCGCGAACTGCAGGGTGATGCGGCCCGTGTCAATGCTCACAAGGAGAGTAACTCTGAAAGAAACCGTCTTTTTGTTGTGTCTGTTCCCTTCAGTCTTTTGTTCTCTCAGGACACACTTTTGCTTTTTTTGCGACAGGCTGGCATCATACTCTTCTGGATCCTACTGCTTCAGCTGTCCAAGTGCGGGGATTACAGCTGTGCATCACTACACCTGATAGTTACTGAATTTTTTAAGGACTGCACAATTGCCAGAGATGGTGGTGCACACCTGTAATCTCAGTACTTAAGGAGGCTGAGGCAGGAGGATTGCTAGGAGTTTGGGGCCATGCTGCACTACATAGTGAGATCCTGTCTCAAAAACAAAACAAAAATATACAACATAAACATGGTATTGAAGGTATAAAAATTAATGCTAATGAGAAAAAAATGCTCACGAGAAGTCAAAGGGCATTCACAGAACTAGTATACAGGCCACGTACTTGAAAGACAGATTTTAATATACAGAATAAAATCCAAGATTATATTTTTTTACTCTCCCCAAAATTTGTTTACTGAATCTATCCAGTAAAATTTGTATTTCGGTTCAGTATTCAACATTATTAGACTGACAATCTGATCAAGTCCGGCTTGATTATTATAAATCTTAGAAATTAACAGAATTTACTTTGAAAGTCTGTTGCTTTTGTAGATGGATTTTTAATGGTTTCTTTGCTAAAAGTTTATTCAACGTTCACCTCAGAGCCTGATTCAAAACACGATTCTTCTTTAAACAGATCATCATTTACTCTAGGCAAATTAGTACTTTATTGAAGATCATATAAAAACTTCACAATAAATAAAGGAAGAGTATGCAAAACCATTAGCCTCTGTTTGCCGTATAGAAAATACGCGTCAGTTCTGGACCAGAGTGACCCCTGGGCACGGGAAAGGCTGGGAGCGGCCGCCCCTGCTGCTGTTCAGCGAGGCCGGACCAGCCCTGCCGCTGCCGGGGAGCGGGGGGTCTCGTCTGCACATAAACAACATCTTCGGTAGTTTAAAAAAATATAAACTCTAAAAAAGCCTGTGACCCGTGTACAGCCCAGAAGCAGCTGTGTGAGACCCAGGCGGAGGCCAGAATGGCATTAGCACCTGCAGCGAGCCTGGGCGCCCACCTCCTGCCCTGGCCCAACGCGGGCGCCGGCGAGGGCCGTGCTGGCCACCATGCTGCCTGCAGCACGGCCCGCGGGCACCACAGCGTGGCTGCAATCACAAGCTCAGCCGGAAGAGCAGGTCCCGCGTTGCCTTATCAACTTTCTGCTGGTAGTCCTCTAGCTTATCGAGGATCTTCTGAGACAGCTGTAGGGAGGAGAGAGGGCTCAGTACCGACCAGCGCAGGGACGGAGGAGAGCCGGGTGCTGTCGCCTGACTGCCGGCCGCACTCTGGTCGTAGTGCTGCGCTTCTCTGGCGCATACAGTGCCTTTAGTCCCGCTTTCCTGATACACCTTCAAAATATGCGCATCACCTCCCACCCCGGCACTGGGATGGAACCCGGGCCGTCACACTGACCTAGTCCCCTGCCCTTTTTCATTTAGAGAGGGGTCTTGCTAAGTAGCTAAGTCACCCAGTGCTGGGACACAAGCCTGTGTCACCACACCACGATTCTCCTGACACTGGGAAAAGTTTAAGAGGAGAAACAGGGCTGGGGATACAGCTCAGTGGTACAGCATCTGCCTAGCAAGTGTGAGGCCCTCAATTCCTCCCTAGCCACACAAAAAGCTAAAAAGCACACAATAAAGTGCGAGGAGCTTACACTGAATCAGTGTTCGTTTTGTTTTGTGAGCCAGTGTCTCCATAGGTAGTTCAGGCTGATCCTGAACTCACTATGTAGTGAGGGCTGGCCTCAAACTCAGTGATCCTCCTGCTTTGGCCTCCCGAGTACTGGGACGACCACGGGCGCCATGATGGGTTCAGCCAAACTATTTTTGGAGGTGTTTGAAAGCCAGTGGCACAGGGGTCCTCCCTTGGGGCCTGTAGGCGGCTGTGTCACAGACCCCTGCTTGCCTGCCAGAGCAGGCTGTGACTGTGAGCAAAGGAGGCTCCATCCTGTCACTCCCCATGAACACATCCTGGGTTTGCTCCACGCCCAGTATAGGGGTGCTGGTGCCCCGGAGGCTGGGCCCCACCGTAAGCCCGCAGAGCCGATGGGGACCCGAGGCCCACTCACTGCGAGGTTGTGGCTATTGGCACTGTTCTCCCCCAGCGCCTGGAGCAGCTGGTCGATGGCGGAGTATGGGAGCCACACCATCGGGGCCGTCGCGGACAGTGGGAACTGCAAGGGAAGGGCTGCGTTCACAAGAGCGCACAAGTGCCGCCTTCTGCTGGGGAGCTGCCTTCACAGGACTCTGTGAGGTGCAGGACTGTGGGCCCAGCCGGGGCAGCTTCACCGCCGCTCTCTGTCCTGTGTCCCCAGCCCTTCTTATTTTAAGTGTTTCACTAAGCTGCTCAGGCAGGACTCAAACTTGCAATCCTCCTGCCTCAGCCTCTTTCAGTGCTGGGATTATAGGGCTTAGGAGTGCACCACCACGGCCAGCCCCTCCCTACAACGAAGAAACTGCATGCATGCGTGTGCAGCCCTGACACACTCACGTGACCGCCCCCCACAACTGGGAAGCTTGTCCTTTGCTCAGTTAGATCCATCTGTCAAATCTATCTTATCTAATCCACCCATCAATCGATCTGGAATGCAGGGCTTTTGCCCTGACCTTTGTATGTCCCACACCTTTTACTTCCTAGTTGTCCAGGAGGGAATCAAACTTGCAACCCTCCTGCCTCAGGCTCCCAGCACACTGGAATGACGGCATGTGTCAGCACACATGGCTTCGTTAAGTTAGTTTACTCATTCATTCCTTTTGAGATAAGGCCTCACTATGTGGCCCAGGCTGGTCTCAAACTCTGTGATCCTCCTGCCTCAGCCTCTCAAGTGCTGGGACTGCAGATGTGTGGCATCCTGCCCTGCCCCAAACCACACTGTTTTGATGGAGAAAAATGAAACATATCCCCACTTTGTCTAGATTTTCCTGCAGTGCTAATATTTAGTTGTTTCATTATTGGTAAAGCTCCAATCCAACGCTGCGTATTCAGTTTACAGTCAAACCTGCTCCCGTGCCCGGGGTACGAAGTCAGAGAACACTGCGGTGTGCCCACCTCGATGCCGAAGTACTGATGCCCTTTTCCCAGCACGGCGTCCACATACTCCGAGACCAGGTCCACGGCCTCTTCCAGCAGGTCGTACTTCAGGTAGAGACGCAGCAGCTCGGCGGCGTCGACTTTCTGTGAGAACGCAGTGGTGAGGGCATGCACCTCCTGCTCCCCTGGTGCGGCTGAGGAGCCGGAGCGGGTCCTGGCACTCGCTTGCCTCACGCACCTGACCGCGCGCCGTGGGCTCCTCACCTGCACTTCAGGAGCTTGCCCGAGCCCCGCCACCCTGGCCCTCCAGGCTGCCCGCTCAGCGACTGGGAGCCAGGAAGCCGGCAGGTCTCCGCAGGGCCAGCGTGCTCACACCGCTCCGGGAATGCGGGGAGGACGAGCGCAGAGCAGGCCCGAGGGCGGCGGTGTGGATGGGCCTCAGGCTGGCCGGGCTCTGCCTACGTTAACAGGGCTCCCGTGCGCGGACTCGATCAGTCCCCCCGTACTGGGCCGGCCGCTTTCCCTGCTTCCCCCTCCAGGACAGACCAACCTGACTTCTTCAGACCGAGAGGTCAGGCGCAACAGGGCTCAAATGTCAGCGTGCGCCACCGTCAGGTGAGGACCTTACTAAACACACAGCCCTGTTCCTTACCTGGATAACTTGTGCAGTCTGGGATGGGACCCAGGAAAAGAAAAAGTATGTGTAGTTTTCGGTGGTATGGGAGGTTTTTGAGACAGTGTCTCGCTATGTAGTCTGGCCTCCAACTCACAGTGACGCTTGTACCCAAGCCACTGACGTGCTGGGATGACAGGTGTCTATTTTACCTTATTTATTTATCTATTTATTTATATTTTGAGGCAGGGTCCTACTATGCAGTTCAGGCTGGGCTTCACCTTGTGGCAATCCCCCTGCCTCAGCCTCCCAGCTGCTGGGATTAGAGGTGAGAGGGCCAGCTACAGTGTCTACTTTAACAAGGTCTGCCGTGCACTGTTCTGACGCAGGGCACCTGCTGTGATTGGATGCGGTTTGTCTCCCGAGGTCAGGCGTTGAGGAGGCCTAATCCCTCATGAGATGATGTGGGGAGAGGAGGGCTGGTAGGGTTTGGCCTGGCGTGAGATCCCCGGGTCACCGCTCTGAGGGGACTTGTTCTGCCCTTGGGAATGAGAGCTTGCGCTCTGGGGAACAGGCCTCACCCCTGCATGCCTGCTGGCTTCCCACTCGCCACCATGTGACACACAGGAAGGGCCTCAACTGAGGCCAAGGGGACAGGGCTACCAGCTCTTGGACTCAGCTTCCAAGACTGTGAGCTAATAAGCCTGTTATAAAGCCAGCCAGTTACCGGGTGTGCTCGTGCACACCTGTACTCTCAGCACCAGGATCACTGCGAGTTTGAGACCAGCCTGGGCTACAAAGTGAGCTCAAGGCCAGTCTGAACTGCATAGCGAGACCTTGTCTCAGAAAAGACAAAAAAAGAAAAAAAAAGGTCACCCAACCTCAGGAATTCTCATGGTAATAAAAACCAGACTAATGTGCAATCTGACAAGATCGGGTGCATTCAGGGTGGTGTGGCTGGAGACTAATACACAATCCATGAACTCAGTTTATTTTTGAGACAGGGTCTCGCTATGTAGCCCAGGCTGACCCTGAACTTGCAGCGATCCTCCTGCCTCAGCCTCCCAAGTGCTGGGGGTACAGGCGCATGCCACCATGTCCAGCATGAACTTAGTTCTGACAGCACTGCCTTAGAGAAACCCTGTGTGGGATTGGAAAATGGCTCCACCTGCCGCCCTAGAGTTTGGAGCCAGGAATCAGACATACGTGCCCCGGACATTACTCTAGACACCAACGCACCGTTCCGTGGGCACAGGCAGGTGGGCATCCAGTTCCAGCCTGCGGAGCTGTACCCAGCACGGTGTAGAAGTTAGGCCCTTAGTGATTTTAGCTATGACTGAGAAGCCGCCTGAAGTATATGTTCCCCAAAATTATCACCTTATCTTTTAGTGTTTAGTCACCTCATTAAATTATATTTTGGTGGCAGTGAGAATTGAACCTAGGGCATTATACTCAGCTGCAACCCCAGACCCTCTGCCCTATTTCTTTTCTCTTTTTTTAAATTTTGAGGCAGGGTCTCACTAAGTTGTGTGGGCTGGCTCTAGGTTGTGCTCCTCCGCCTCAGCCTCCCAGGGTGCTGGGATCACAGGCCTGTGCCGTGGTGCCTGGCTTCCGTGAATCACTTAGGCCGCTGACAGGCAGGTTCTTAATGTCTGGTGGTCAAGACATCAGGTACCTTGTAGCTGTTGATGAGCCAGTTAGGCAGAGGCACGCCGTGTGACAAGAGCTTGTTGATCACACACTGGTGGTACAGGTTGTTCTGCACCTTGTACGTGTCGAGGTATGTGGACAGCAGTCGCCACGCTTCATCTGTAGCGCTTGAGGAAAAAGGAGATGCACTTCAGCTTTCCCCACGGCACCTGGGGTGAACCCGACCCTGCCGCCGAGCCCCATCCCAGCCCCGGAGAAAGCAGCGAGCGGCTAGCAGCGCCGCAGTAACGCGTGTGAGGAGGCCGGGGTGCCTTGCGGGCTGGCGCTCGGAGCCAGAGGGTGTGGACACCTGCGCTTTTCTCCCAGCGACCACCGCACTCACTATACAATCTGTTTCATTTCTTTGTTTCACGATTTTTTTTGGTACCAGGAATTGAACTCAGGACCCTGTGCTTGCCAGGCAGGCACTTGTGCCACTGAGCTATATCCTTGGCCCAGGATTTCTTAAAAAAAAAAGAAAAGAAGTGGCTGAGATTGCTGGTCCCTGCGGCCTGCAGGAGGCTCTGACTCTGAAGATCAGTGTGGTAGTATTTTCAGCTGTCTCTTTGTTTGTTCTGGTTTTTCTCAGAGAAGGTCTCACTATGCACTTCAGGCTGACCTCAAACTCAAAGTGATCCTCCTGCCTCGGCCTCTGGAGTGCTGGGATTACAAGTGCACACCACCACGCCTGGCTGCCCAGGGTGGTCTCGGACTTGTGAGCCGAAGGGACCCCCCACCTCAGCCTTGGAGTAGTTGGAACTACTGGCAGGGGCCACTACACCCCACTAAGAGCATTTTCCCCTTTGCTTGTTTGTAGCACTGGGGATAAAGCCAGGGGCTGCTCTGGCACTGAGCTACATCCCTAATCCTTTCTGTTTTTTATTTTGAGGTAGTGTCTTGCCGCTGAACTCAAACTTGTGATCCTCCCACCTCAGCCTCTCAAGCGCTGGGGAAAGAGCACCTCTTCTTGATGCAAAGGGGGACGTGGCGGAGACATTTCATAGACAAAGACATCCTAGTTAAAATGACATCACGATGTGAACCTAGCTGTAAAGTCTCCTGCTTCTATCAAAACTCAGCCACAGAGGAGGGGGAGGAAAGGGACGCCGCGTAGGCAGAGCACGGGATCCGAGGAAGAGAGCTGCGCTCCGGGACGGGCGAGCCTGGCCGCACCTGGACTCCTTGGTGGTGACCACGGAGGACAGCTGGTTGGCCGCGAGCCAGGACCAGGCTTCGGCCTGCGTGTTCTCCCCGCCCAGCTGCAGCCGGATGCACCTGCGGGGAGAGGGCACCGTGAGAGGCTCTGAGTCACCTGCTGGCAGGACGAGAGGGACAGCACAGGGAGACACGTGACTGTCGCATAAGGCGATGGCCTGTCCTTCTCAAGCCACACGCGGTCCTGGCATGGGCCGAGCAGGGCTGCTCTGCAGACCACACGTGGTCCTGGCATGGGCCGAGCAGAGCTGCTCTGCAGACCACACGCGGCTTGTGGGTGCGGACGGTGATCACCGCCTCGTGTGAAGCGTGAGGTGAAGCCTGTGGAAGGCTCACTACATACTTGAAAGCAAGGCCCTCGAAGACCGGCGTCAGGGGCAGCTTGAAGGTCTGGCATAGTGCGAGGGCGGTGTCGAAGAGGCCGGCCTGCACCAGGAGAGTGACCATCTCCTCCGCCGATGAGCTTCCTGTGCAGCGGGAGCCAGGTCAGAGTGCGGGGCCAGAGGCTGGCGAGGCTCCCGGAGGCAGATGAGGCTCTGCTGGGGGTAGGTGCCTGGGGCAAAGGACGCAGCATCACGCCCACCCAGCAAACTCCTACCTACCTGCCACAGCGACGGCAGCCGGGTCGTGGCGGGCCAGCACGAGGCGGATGCGGGCCAGCGCGCACTCCTTCTCCAGGTCAGCCAGTTCCAGGATCTCCACCTGCCGTGCACCTGGGAGCCAAGGGAGGAGACCCAGTGCCCGAGGTCAGGGTCAGTGTCCTAGCTCAGCCCAAGCTGTCCCTTCCCCTGAGCACTTCTGCACTGAGGGTGGGGGTCTGGGGAAGGAGAGAGCACTTGGAAGGAGCTAAGAAACCGAGCACGGCCTGGGCCTGCTTTGTCCACACAGCCACGTCAGCCAGCGCCTCGTCGGCAGTGGTGCTGGGGCCAGGGCTTCACGGGCATAGGACAGGTCCTCTGCTGGGCTTGACAGCACGACTACGCCCTTTCCACCAGGAGGGGTGCATGCCCCGGGGAAAGGGGCAGCCGAGACCACACGCCTCAGCTCCTATCTGTATGCCCCTCAAAGCCTCATGCGCTCCTGGGCGCAGCTTTGGGAGGGACTGGATCATGGGCCGCAATACTGGGCTGGCCCGCTGATTCCTCTAGCACAGTTCTAGTGTGGATGACGATTACTGAAGAGGGAAGCCCCACCCTGGGTGTGGATGCCACCAACCGCAGGCTTGTAGCCTGGAAGGAATAAAAAGGGAAAGGAGAAGGAAGGCTGCCTCCTGCCCGCCCTGCCATGGACTGTTTCTCTCCGCCAGCCCCCTCTGCCAAGCCGCCCTGCCTTGGAGCCAGCCAATGACGGACTGAAACCTCTACAAGCTGTGAGCCAAATAAAACTCTCCTCCTTTAACTTGTGGGTGTTGGGTAGTTGGTCTCAGCAACGAGACAGTAACTAAGACAGCTGTCCTGTCTCACTCTACTATCAAGGAACCTATGACGAAAGCATTGCTACTCAGCTGATTCAAACACGGCAGGCAGGGCTGAGGATATGGCTCAGCGGCACAGCGCCTGCCTGGAAAGCACAAGGTCTTGAGTTCCAAACCAAACCAAACCAAACCAAACCAAACCAAACCAAACCAAACCAAACCAAACCAAACAAAACACCAAAACCCCACAACAGGCAATAAAATGTACTCCTCTCTCCTTTTTCTCTCTCTCTCCTGTGTAAGCATTTTTATTTCTCATCACCACAGAGCACTTTCAAAGGGCTTCCAAGACAACTTCAGCAGATCAGAATGTTGAAAATAAACGAAAGGAATGTGACTGCATTTTAAAACGGCCATACCATGTGTACCGCAACAACGCAGCAGCACTGCAAGATGTGTGCTGACAAGCACTACACCGTGGGCGCACGTCGTCACCCAGGTCCCCCCGCTGGAACAACGCGCCCGCTCCCCAGCCAGCCAGCGAGGGACCCACTCACCGGGGGCGGCCGCGCACTCGCCATCGTGACTCCTCTTGGGGGAAGTCCCGGGACGGTCATACTGCGGAGAAAGAGCAGGGATTTGCCTGTGGAAATTTGTGCGTTTTTCTGATATTACTGTGAACTGAAGCTTTCAGGCCTCAGTTGTCTCAATAGAAACTGTTTTGTCGCAGTCCCGGGATCGAACCACGGCTGACGAGAGAGCGACACTCCCAGCTCATTCCACTTCTTATCTTGAAACAGGGTCTCGCGGAGTCCCCGGCTGCCCAGGCCGGACTGAGAGCTGCGATCCTCCCAGAGTGCTGTGATTACTGTGCGCGCCCCCACGTCCAGCTTCAATGAAGGTAGCTTTTAGCCAGCCAAGCAATTTTAGAGGCGCGGGGACTATCGAAGAAGCGGAGCTGACTGCCGAGCTGGCCACTGAAAACGGTCCTGGATTTCCCTCCATGTGTCACGATTCTCCCTGATTACACAGTGCTAGGCCCCACTGTAACCTGGGTAACAGCGTAGCTAATGAAGGGTCTACACGACCCCAGGAACTGGGCACAGGTGCCCGGTCAGCATGACAGAGAAAATGCCACGTGTGTGTCATCTAACACAGCAACTGAATTAACGGTCTGATCAAAAGAAAACCCAGCGTTGATTAAGGACTTTCTGTAGGCCAGATACATCATTATTCTTTTCTGTTTTTTGAGATAGAGTCGCACAATGCAGTTCAGGCTGACCCTGAACTCACTAGGTAGCCCAGGCTGGCCTCAAACCCGCAGTGATCCTCCTGCCTCAGTCTCCTGAGTGCTGGGATTACAGCTGTGTGCCACCATGCCTGGCCCTTGTCACTGTTCTAAGCAATGTTCTCATGAACTTCTTCCGGCCCCAACGATCTACCCATGCGCCTGCACACCAGGGAGACCCGGCCTGCAGGTTCAGGGGCTTGTCGGAGTCAGCTTCCCTAACCCCGAAATCACTCTGCCAGAAGGTCTTCTACCAAAATTCTGCACTTGGGAGTTAAAGGGGTAGTGACCTGTAACAGATAAACTGCTGTGAAAAAAGAAACTGTTCCCAAACACTGCATAGCGGTTGGAAATAAAATGAAGCAAAACGAAGGAAACCCGGAGAGATGAAGTGACCCCCGAACTGCGAAACACAGGAGGAAGCTTTCCTACCACGGCGCCGGCGGCGGGCTGCACGACCCACGCGTACTCGGGGCGGATGAGGCGCAGGCAGTTGACGGCGGCCAGGTAGCAGTTGCCTTGCTTCTCCAGGCCGCGGAGCGTGCGGACCTCTCTGCCCAGCCGCGTCCCGTACTCAAACATCACCGTGCCAGCTGCGAGGCAGGAGGGAGGGAGAACTCACACAACGTGCTTCTTTAGAGACAGAGAACTGCCTCACCTATCAGACATTAAAATTTAAAACTAAACTGCATTTACTTAGAGCTACCAAAAATGAAATCATGTGTAGGAGCTGGGCATGGTAACATACACCTGTAATCCCAGCATTCTGGGAGGCAGAGGCAGGATGATTCCAAGTATGAGCCTAGCCTGGAAAAGTCAGAAACTTAGGGAGACCTGATCTTAAAAAAAAAAAAAAAGGGGGTACCGGGAGAGGTGGCGCACACCTGTAATCCCAGCACTCTGGAGGCTGAGGCAGGAGGATCGTTGCGAGTTCGAGACCAGCCTGGGCTGCAAAGTGAGCTCAAGGCCAGCCTGAACCACATAGTGAGACCCTGTCTCAAAAAGACAAAAAAAAAAGGAAAGATAATGTGCTGGTGATGGTGTGGAGACACGGGACCTCTGTGTACTGTTGCTAGGAATTTAAAGGTCCAGGAGCTGAGGAAAACACGGCAGTTCCTTAAAAATTAAACAATCATCACATGATCAGCCAATCTTGGTGTGTATCAGAAGAACCGAGGGCAGGGACAGGCGTTTACCGTGGGCTGTCCGGGATTAAGCCCAGCGCCCTACCCTGAGCCACATCCCAGCCTGCCCTCCCCACCCTTTCCCTTCGGCTTTCGCAGTCGGGGTCTCACTCCACAGCCCAGGCTGGTCTCGACCTCCTGGCGGGCCTCCTGCCTCAGCCGCCCTGTCCTTCCTCCTCCTCCGCGTCTGAGTGGCTCTGTTCCGGATCCCACTTACCTCCTGCTTCGGTAAGCGTTCCGGTGGTGTAACTCACTCTCAAAAGGGGAGCAGAGGGGTTGGGGGAGGCAAAGCGGACAGGAAATGGTGCGGTGGAACGTGAGGAACTGGTGCGCGTGGGTGAAGGGCACAACACGGGGTGCTCTCTGTAGGAATGTGCTAGCTTTCCAGCATATCTGAAACACTTTGAATTGGAAGACTGGAACTGAAACCCAGGGTGGGGAGGTTAAAACTAGCTGTGAGAGGTTGGGGTCCCCCTAGTGGAAAAGCTAAGGGTTCCTTTATCAGCAGACAAATACTGCATACGATGCCCCCTCACTGGAAATGACGGGGAATGTTACAGAGCAGGAGCAAATATATATTTTCAAAGCTACTGTGTAATCTTTAAAGGGGGAGGGAAAGCTAATCTTGTATGTAAACATAATTAAATACACAGTATTTTTTGTTTTTGAGACAGGGTCTCACTATGCAGTTCAGACTGGCCTTGAGCTCCCTTTGTAGCCTAGGCTGGCCTCGAACTCACAACGATCCTCCTGCCTCAGCCTCCCGAGTGCTGGGATTCCAAGTGTGCGCCACCACGCCCGCCTGCACAGTGTTTCTGTAAACCACGATTTCACTACCAAGGAGGCCTCAGTGGCCAGCGCCTGGCTGGGGCTCACCTTTGCGGAAGTTGTGGCGGTGGATGTGGAAGGCGTAGAGAAGCTCGTAGTAATTGTGAGTGGTGAGGTCCACGGCCCTGGCACGTGATTCGATTATCCCTACAACCTGGCGGAGGGGGAGCCGGGGGACGCTGAGGTTACACAAGAGGTGCTGCCGGCCACCGCGGCCGCCTGCGCCTGTCTCGGCCTACCTCGTTATGCAGGTTCACGTAAGGAAACTCCACGAGGTCCTGCAGCTGCGAGCGCTCACACAGGACAACGACCAGCTGCCGCAAGCAATCTAACTGCCTGGAGCGCAAGCGGGACAGAAGGACGCGTCACAGGGGCCTCCCCAGGCCGGCACCCTCTGGTGTTCCCAGAGACCGTGCACCCACCTGCTGGAGTCGGGAATCTGGGTCAGGGCCTCGTACGCTTGGCTGTTGTGCCCCAGGTCCAAGTGATGTTTGAAGATGCACGTCCTCAAAGTGGCCTGGAGAGCGCGAGGGCAGCAGAAACTCAAACACCACCTCACAGCGAGCTGCCGCCGAGGTGCTGCGGTTTGCTCTTACCTGGCCGTTCCAGTCGTCGCCTGCTTCCGTGATCGCTGCCGTGGCCAGCTGGATGACCAGCTCGGGCAGCCCGACGACGTCGAGGAGACGCAGCACCTAGGCAGGCAGAGAAAACTCCAAGTAACCTGGCCGGGCACTCTGAACCCAAGAATGTTTCACAGTAACTAGAAGAACCAGGTGAGGAAAGAGGAGGCCGGAGGTCCCAGGGGCCTGGGTGCTGCTCCGCCCTGCCGTGTGAGGCGAGGGCTGCTGCCCGGCCCCATGGAGGAGCGAGAGGCTGCCAAGACGCACAGGTCTTTGAGTCACAGCTGCTTTAGTTCCTGCATGAACACGTGCTCTCTGGGTCTACCGTCAGACAAGGCTTGCTGGAAAACCACTTGTTCTTCCAGATGATACGACCGCAACGGCTCTCCAGCTGCAGATGGATTTAGATCGACTGTGTGACAGTTAGGCTGGCACAGACAGACGGAGGGAAGAGACAAACCTAACACGCTCTGCAGATCATTTACAAGAGCTACTACTGACCTGCTTTCCTTCCCAGTACTGGGGACTGAACTCAGGCCCTCACTAAGGCAAGCACCCGCCCGAGCGGCACACCAGCCCTCACAGGAACGGTGAGTAACAGGGCTTTGGACTGTGTTTTTCCCTTCCTTCCTTTCTGAGACAGGGCCTCACTGTGCAGTTCAGTCTTGTCTGGAACTCACAGCGACCCTCCTTCCTCCTCCCCCGAACAGCGGGATTGCAGGTGTGCGGCACCACGCCCGGCTCTTCTCTTTAGGACGGGGCTATGTTGCTCAGGCTGCCCCCAAATCCCACGCTCAAGAGTCTTCTGCCTCAGCCTCCTGGGTGCTGCACCAACTGGCATCACCATACATAGCTCTGTCCTCGGACTAGTGTGACGAAGTAACGAAAGAGCTCCCAGAACACGCCTGTGCGCACGTTCTTACGCACGGCCACTCTGTAGGCGGCAGGGCACGTGCTGTGACTCTGAAGGGCTGCCGGCGCAGCACGACGGCCCACGCTGGGCTATGCCCTGTACCCATCATCACAGCTGAAGACCGAGAGTGGTGTCACCCGCGTAAGGTCAGAGCTGAGACGCAGGCCCAGACCTCAGCGCCAGCGCCTGCCGGTGTGATGCAAGCCACTTGCCGGGGAGGCAGACGCATGCTTCCTCTGTCCCTCTGGCGGGCTTGCCGTGCGCTCAAAGCACAGGTCGCACCCTGCTTGTCTCTGCGCTTTGTTGCCCATGTTGGTACCAGGAGGCAGCAGCCTGCCGCTCACAGCTCCGTTCTCAGTGCCCGGCCCTGGTGCCCTGTACGCAGTGGGCTCCCAGCAGTTCTCCTTCTTTCAGTGCTGGGGACTGGACGTGGCCAGGACCACACTCAGTTACACCGTCGGCCCCCAGCCCTTTTCATTTGTGAGACTTGCCATCCTCCTGCCTCAGCTCCTGAGTAACAGGGGCAACAGGCGTGTGCTAACACGCACACGTAGGATTTTTTTTTTCTTTGGTCTTTTTGAGACAGGGTCTCGCAATGCAGTTCAGGCTGGCCTTGAGCTCACTTTGTAGCCCAGGCTGGTCTCGAACTTGCAACAATCCTCCTGCCTCAGCCTCCCAAGTGCTGGGAATACAGGCGTGTGCCTCCATGCCTGGCACGTAGGATTTATTGAATGAAGGAACACATATAGCTCAGTGGCACAACACTTCCCTGGCGAGCACAAGGTCCTGAGTTTGAATCCCAGTACAAAAAACAAAAACAACAATAAAACCCTGAAATCTGAATGCTCTAAAATCTGAAACACTGGGTGCTGATGTGCCACCATACTGTTTTGTTCTTTTGAGACAGGGTCTCACTAAGTAGCCCAGGCTGGCCCTGAACTCACAGCAATCCTCCTGCCTCAGCCTCCCAAGTGCTAGGATTATAGGCATGCACCACCACGCCTGCCTTGATGTGCTATTGTAACATCCTACTTTCCCTCATGTGAGAGACAGAAGCCAAGTGCAGGCATATTAAATTACTCATGAATTACCTCCAGGTATGTGTATAAGGCAAGCACCCACCCTGGGGCCCTCTCCCAGGATATGCTATAATATATATACAAATGCTAAAAAAAAACCAGAATGCAAATCACTTGTGGCCCTAAGCATTTCGGGTAAAGGACACAAACTGTACTAACTTCCCTGCAAGCTAGCCTAGGGAGTCCAGAGAACAACTGCAGTGTTTTCTGCACAGGTGTGGAGGGCCACACCGCGCTGGCCCACCTTGTCGTAATACTGCAGCCTGGGGCTGGACGCCACCTCCCCGTCTTCAGAGCGGATCAGGCGATCCAAGAACTCCTCCTTGCCCACTTCAGACGCCGCCTCGCAGAAGCACTGCAGAGCCTGGGGAGGAAGCAGCGGGGCGGCGGCACGTTATTCTCGGTCTGGCCGTGCAATCCACAGCACGACTGCTCAGGAGCGTCCGAGCAGAAGCGCAATTGCTCAGGGCAGGCTACTGCACTCGCTCGGCCTGATAAATTTAGCTTTGCATGTATAATTTTAAGTTTCATTCTTCTCTAAATGCTATTAATTAAAAAATAAGACAACTGGTGCACAGACATGGAAGACACCCCTCCGGCACCAGGGCAACCGCTGGGTTCGGCGGTGGGTATGCCGTCGTTCACTGTGCAAGTCTGGACACTGTTCTGCACACTTGAAAATTTACATGATAGGTGGTCACGGGGATAATGAACAGTGTAACAATCACACTGAGAGAAAAACTGCATACAGCAAAAGAATACACAGTGGAAACAGTGTGGTTAATAAATTTGATTTTTAAAAATGCACCAGTAAAAGCCCTTGCACTGGGGCAGAGTACTTTAGTTACTGCTTTGTGTGTGTGTATGTGTGTGTGCGCCTGTGCGTGTGTGCCTGTGTGTAGCGCTGGAGACTGAACCTAGGGCCTTCCGCCTGAGCTGCAGTCCCGGCCCTTTTAAGTTTTTTGGTTTTGAGAGGGTTTTGCTAAGCTGCCCAGGGTAGGCTTGAATTCCGCCTTCCGGAGCGCTAGGGTTGCAGGCGCACAGCACCGCACTCTCCGGAGCAGGAGGGTTTCGAGGGTTTCGTGTTCCCCTCCCACATCCTAACCACACCTCCGAGCACAAGCGGCTAGCGGCCGATGTACAGGTCACGCCTAGGCAGCAGCCCCCCAACCCCGCCCCAGGCCAGCCGACTGAAGTCGGAACCACCCCCCACCTCCTGCGCGGAGGATGGCGCCCCAAGGGCAGCTTGCCTTGTGCTCCTCGCCCGTGATGAGGTAGCAGCGCCCCAGCATGAAGCGGCAGGAGCCCACGTTGACCTGACACCAGGGGTGCAGCAGGTGGATGTAGTCCTGAAAGACACAGAGCGAGCGCCCTGAGGAGGACACAGACAGGACCAGAGGAGGCGCTCGTCTCCAGACTCTCCGCTGAGGAGAGGAGGCCTTGGATCAACACAGAAACGGCTGCTGTTTTCTGACACAGAGTTTTGCTAAGCTGCGCAGGCTGGCATCAAACTTGAGATCTGCCTGCTTTGGCATCCCAAATGCTGGGCAAAATTTTACCTTAAAATCATCTGAGCATTAAAACCTAGTCCTTAATACATTCTTATGCCAGGCTAGATACCATAAGAAAGCAAACACAGCTGGGCACAGTGATGCGGGTCTTTCATCCCAGCTACTCAGGAGGCTGAGGCAGGATGATCACTTGAGCCAAGTCTAGTAATACAGTGAAACCCTGTCTCCTCAGTAACTACAGCAGCAGCAGCAGCAAATATGGCAACAGTAGCCCAGGAACATACATGCTTTACATGGCAGCGATTTTCCAATTTTTGGTATTTATAGGTTCAATGACTACCCAGTAAAGGATTTATATAAAGTCAACAGTATTTGTTTTACTATAAAGAAAACCTGACTAAGGAAAAAAAGGTACTCTAAAAAAATTATGTTAAGTGATGATACTATCAAGAAAGAAGCAGAAAGCTGGGCGTGGTGGGGCACATCTGCAATCTCAGCATTTGGGAGGCTGGGGCAGGAGGGTTTTTATAAGTTCGAGAACAGCCTGGCCTACACAGTGAGCTCAAAGCGGCCTGAACTGCACAGCGAGACCCTGTCTGAAAGAAAAAAAAAAAAAAAAAAGTAGATGCCAGCCCTGGTATTGCATGTCTGTAATGCCAGCTACTCAGGAGGCTGAGGCAGGAGGATGGCACATTTGAAGCCAGTCTGGACAACTTAGTGAGACTGTTTCAAAATAAAAAATAAATAGGGCTGTAGCTCAGGGGCAGGGATCCCTGGATTTATTCAATGTTCAGTGCTGGGGATGGAGGGTCTGGAAAGCAGAGAAAGTAGAGAAAAACTTGCTGGGCGCTGCATGGCATCAAGCTTGGCCTCTGAAGATGGGTTCTCCCGTGAGCCCAGGCAGACCTTGAAGGCACGGTCCTCCTGCCTCAGCCTCAAGTGATGGGATTTTAGATGTAAACTGCCACCGCTGGCCACACGTTTAATGTCTGTGCTTCTTACGAATGGCCCAATTAAAGTGGTTAATATTCACAAAAAAACCCATGCTTGTCACACCCTTTTCCCACAGGAGTGACCGTCCCCGAAAGGTCAGGCAGCGCTCACCTGCAGCTGCACGTACTGGCAGTTTCCCATCAGACACTCCAGGAAGAGACAGCCGGGATTGCTGGGCCATCTAGTCACCGGATAAGGACAGCTTTTTACTTATTTGGCAGAACTGAAACGTATACACTGGATATCAGATCTGAAGAAGCCATGGAATAGTTTCATTTTTTAAAAAAGGCCGGGAGTAGCTCCACGGTGGGGCCTGTGCCTGGCACGCACCAGGCCTTGGGTTCGATCCACGACACAGCCAGGAAGGACGTGCCTCGCGGGCACGTGTCCCGCCCCGGAGCCCCTTCCGCAGCCTCCCCGCAGCAAGTCCGCTGAGCGGCTCTGCAGGCCGACACCGTGGTAGGCACTGGGCTCCGGCCGGCACCAGCAGGTCGGCCGTGCAGGCCGGCACGAGGCTCTGCTTGACGCCCAGCACCGTGAGCGAGCAGCCAGAGCCAGCCAGACAAGCGCTTCATCACCGGCTGACCTCGCCCCGGGCCAGGCGGGTCTGTCCCAGAGCGCTCGCTGAGCTCGCGCAAGGCCTGCGCTTGAGCCTCGGTACTGCACCCACCCAACCAAGGACAACAAAAACCCTCCTGATACCGCCGAGCAGAGTAAGAGCCCCAGACTGTTAGATAGAAAAGAGCTTTCAAGAGCTTACAAGCAAAAGGATACAAAAACTGCAGTAAATAACTGGTAACCGTAGTGACCATTTCAGGCCAGTTCAGGGCCGTCTGGCTGGGCGGCGCCTTCGGCTGAGAGAAGAGATGGGCGATAATGTGTTTTCTTGCAACCTCTTGGAAGAATAACTCCACGATAGTCTGCGGGCTGGAGACTGGAAAAGACAAAGTGAGGGGAACCACGAATCTGACGGGGCACCGCTGCCGGCTGAGGTGCTCTACGCGTTCATTCCGTGCATGTAACCAAGAGAGTTCATCTCCACACAGAAAAGCACCACGGGCTCGTCAGTTGTGTGCGCACTGGGGCCGCGCAGACACGGCGAGAAGCCCCGCAATCAGCGCCGCGGTTACTTCTGGTCTCCAGTCTCACAGCGCCGAGCGCCCTCCCTCGGAACCCGCTGCAGTCGGTCCCAGCACTCACGCCAGAAGTGCACAGGGAAAATGCTCTAGAGCAACAGCTGCTGCGTGAGAGGGAGGGCGTCTCCTCCATGTCTGTGGGCTAAGCTGACAGTACAAAGCCACCAGCAACTCAGCAGGATCTTAAGGTTTTTTTTTGAGATGGGGTCTTGCTATATAGTTCAGGCTGGCTTTGAACTCACTACGTAGCTCACACTGGCCTCAAACTTGCAGTGATCCTCCTGCCTCAGCTTCCAGAGTGCTGGGGTTACAGACATGTGCCACCGTACCAGGTGTGGGTTTTTTGCTTTTTGAGACAGCGTCTTGCTCTGTAACACAGGCTGGCCCTGAACTCGGTCACCCTCTGCCTCAGCCTCTGGAGGGCTGGGATAGTAGGTGTGCGCCATCGTGCCGGGCATCACCAGAGGCTTGAAGACAACGGAAACGCAGAAGGCAGGCAGGCAGGGCCACGGACAGAACCACAGGCATGAAGAGCCAGGGCAGACTCGCGTGGCAGTGACTCTCTGTGGTCTTAACGCACCCTCCGGGAAGGGCTTCTCACCCTACCATACGTGCTAAGAGAATAGACTTCAACATGGTAAAGGTGAGGTCAGGAAGATGCTGCACACCCAGGTATATACAGCCCCCTTCCTCTATGGCTGACCACGCCTGGTCATCACCAGAGAGCCCAGGCCACGGCGTGCTCGCAGCCACGGGACAGTGGGGTGAGGGGCGGGGCGGTGGGCATTCACAGCGCGCAGGTCTACCCCTTACCGAGCGGACTTGCCGCGGGCACCCCCGAGTCGGTCAGCTCCAGCACCGACAAGTGCTGCAGGTTCGACTCCCTGGAGGGAAGGAAAGACGCGTCAGGGCACTGCTGTGCGCAGTCTCCCCACGCCAACTCGGGAGAACGCCGTCAGCTTAATGAACAGGACAGAAAGGCCCCACTGAGAGCACAAACACAACAAAACGAAACAAAAACCCTGAAAAGCAACAGGACTGGGACCGCCATCGCGTCATTCAGGCGTCCCGCAGTCAAGCACCACAGGTCATCGGGTCATCTTCTGGAAAAGGTGAATCTTCTTCTTTGTTCTGCTTTGGTTTTTTGAGAGGATCTTGCTATGTGGCCCAGGCTGCCAAGGTGGTGGTGATCCTCCTGGCTCAGCCTCCTGAGTGCTGGGGTGACAGGCGGGTGCCAGAACACTTGTTCTCAGGCGCCTTTTACTAACCAGCGCGTTTCTGTGTGCCTTTGTCTTACTTCGCCTTCAGTGCATGTATAATAAGAAGTGTATGTTTATTATTCTGTTTTTAGGTTACTTTCACACTTTTAGTAATCTCAGTACTCAGGAGGCAGAGGCACAAGGACTGCTGAGAGTTCAAGGCCTGCCTAAACTATCTAGCAAGACCCTGCCTCAAAACACAACAAAACCAGCAAAAAAAAAAATCAAAAGCTCTTTAAAGGCAAATTATTATTATTATTACTATTATTATTATTATTTTGTCTTTTTGAGACAGGGTCTGGCTATTCAGGCAGGCTGACCTTGAACTCACTTTGTAGCCCAGGCTGGTCTTGAACTCGCAACAATCCTCCTGCCTCAGCCTCCTGAGTGCTGGGATTACAGGTGTGCGCCACCACGCCCGGCAAAGGTAAATTATTTTATGGCATAATGTTTAAAAATTTTTTAAGGTCCAATCTCTACCACTGCTCCCCCAAAACAACAAAACTAATAAAATTCACAATTCATTTTACAAACATCTATGGTAGTAGAACTCACAGCGCGTCGACTGGGACGTCTGTTGCCAAGCACTGACTCGCCCACTTGATGAGGTAGTAGGACAGCAGCAGCGGCGCCGTCCGGTGCAGCACCTCCTGCTGAGCCTGGAAGAGCTGGCCGGGTCCCAGGAGCCCCTGCGCGTGCAGGCGAGATGGTCAACAAGGCGGTGAGCGGGGGTAACGGGCGCAGGTAGAGGGAAAGGGAATCGCACGCACGGTGATGGGGCACGACGCCGTCACAGCAACACGCCTGTCAGGTTTCGGGGCCGCAAGTGTTAGAACAGCTTTCCAAACATTACAAGCCCCAAAATAATCAAAGTTAGCTCTCTCAGTCATGGGAGCTGGCGGTGACAAAGCGATTCTCACAGCAGGGCTCAGAAGTGCAGAGGAAGCAGTTCCTCTACCGGCCTGGATGGCAACGCTGGGGAAGTGCAGCACACGTGCGCTGGCAGCGCTAACAGCCTAACAACTGCTTCGCCTGAGACCGGCCCGTTCCAGTTCTTTGAACCGAGCCTGCAGCTGTAATCAAGGGCGCACACAGAGCTTCGAGGAGCACAGCCCGCGCGGCTGCTGAGGAAGGGCTGGCGAGTGACCGCTGCACCAGGAGACTGTTAAAATGCCGCAGCTGGTTACCCTGGGGACGGAAAATGCTGACAAGACTGCACCATGGAAGAATAAACATGGCCACGTTTCCAAAAATTCTAAGTGGGTATTCTAATTTTATAAATAAAACAAAAAACTGCACAGAAAAAAAAGTACATGCCAAAATGCAAACAGTGGTTACTACTTGGGAGAAGAGGGTTCATTTATTTTATAACTGTTCTACAAAAAAAATCTGTTTTCTTCTGTGTTTAGAAAGGGCAAAAGCTATTACAGTATTTTTAAATGAAAATACCCTAAAGGAAGGGAAGAATCTTCAGAGACAGAGGGAACATGGTAGGGGTCACCCGTGGCCCGGATTCTCAGAGCAGGGCCAGGGCCGCTTCTCCTCGGTGTCTTAAATTATCTTCCTATAAAGGCTTTCCTTATTCTTGCCCGAAATTCCACCATCAGCAAAAAGAGTTGAGCTAATAAATTCTGATTTTAAACTGTAAACACCTTCAGGAGCCCTGTGAACAGGAACTGTCTGATCAGACTGTGCCCCTGCTGGGCCTGAATGACATCACTGACTCAGACACAAGGGGCAAGCTGGGCGCGGTGGCACACGCCTGTAATCCTAGCACTCTAGGAGGCTGAGGCAGGAGGACTGGAAGTTCAAGGCCAGCCTGGGCAATTTAGCAAGACTGTCTCAAAAATAAAAAAATTAAAAGCCAGGCATGGTGGTGCATGCCTGTAATCCCAGCACTTGGGAGGCTGAGGCAGGAGGACTAACTCGAGTGTGAAACCAGCTCGGGCTATACAGTAGGTCTGAGGCCAGACGAGGAAGTGAGCAGGCCGCGCGAGGCCTCAGGGGGGACTTCCCGCGGGCCTCACCGTGTCTCCCAGCCTTGCCAGCAGCTGCTGGAGAATCAGGAGGTCGCGGCAGATGAGGAAGCGGGTGCTGGCGACCGCGCGCACGCCTCTGCACATGACGCAGGCTGCCGCGCTACTGCCGTACAGCTGTGAGAGGTTCATCCGGACGTGCAGAGGCTGCGCTGCAACAGGGTGAGAAACGGCTGGGTGGGCTCCGGCCCCCTCTGTGCTCGGCGGCACCCGCTCCCTTGTCTGTACCTGGATTGAAGCCCACTTCCATCTCTGCGTCCGTTTCATAATCCATTTCCCGTATGATAAGTCCAATGGCGTGGGCCGGGTTCCTCATCTCCTGCAGCTTGCTACAGATATCTTCCATCACATTTTCTCTACAAGGACCATTGGGAAAGCGGTGAGTACTGAGAACACACAAGACAGGCTCCACATGCGCCGCAAGGGAAATGCCTAGGATCCAGGAAAGCCAACCCCAGCACGAAGGGAGATGACACTCCGGAGCCAAGATACTTTCTTTCACTCCACCCGACACATCGCTCCTGTTTCAGGAATGACAGACCAAACTAACACGAGGAAAAGACTCGGGAGCACGTGCCCGGCACTCACGAGGCCGTGGGCTTGATCCCCAGCAGCACACACACGTACGCACCTACACGTACTCAGCAGGAACATGTTTAGATTCAAGGCAAAACAGTTCGGCTTTAAGCCACCACTTTGTATATACTTGAACATACATACAAAGCCCAACTCTGGCCCGAGCAATTGCTTAATATATGTTAGGAAATGCGCTTTTCCCTAAACTCTCCTTACACGTCAATAATGATCATGTCCTGCAGGATCCGTTCCGCAGCCTTCTCTGGAGACTGCAGGTTGTAACAGCTCATTTCCATCAGGACAGACATGTCCGTGGTCACGGCCTCGCCAATCATCCGCAGGCATTTCATAAGACACATGACGTCCCGGGCCACCTCCAGGTCTGCGAGTAAGAGACAGGGCACACTCGTACCTCGAGCCAACGAGCTACTGCTTCACTGAGCTAAAAATAGTAATAACTGGATGCCAAAGGATCTGAGATCTCAGAGATGCTGAGGCCTTTTCAGTTTTCCATAAAGAATCTACACTGAGGGGACATCTACACAGGACAGGTCACAGTGGCAATCAGTGATTTTTGCATCCATTTGACATAAAGCATAAGGTCCATGCAGGGAGGGAATTACAGACATAAAATGTTAATCATATTACCGTCAGATATGGCTGTCTCATCCTCTGTCAAAAAGTTCTCCTCCGGCAGGAGATACAAGTGATCCACTAAGGAAGTGGGCAGAAGGAAGGAGAGGTACCCCTGGGAACACAAAGCTTGAGTTACAATCTCCTTATCAGGTGTGTGTGTGTCGTGCTGGGCACAAACCCCAGGGCCTCATCAGTGAAATTTTTTTTTTGGTCTTTTTGAGACGGTGTCTCACTATGCCCTTCAGGTTGGCCTTGAACTCAAAAGTGATCCTCCTGCCTCAGCCTCACAAGTACTGGGATTACAGGTGTGCACCACCATGCCTGGCTTCATCAGTGAATTTTTACATGGATAAAATGGGTAACAGTTCAATGTGTCATGTGGAATAACAACTCACGCTGTAGGTGACATACAAGTACAACCTGACCTGTCACTTAAAACAGACAGGGCCTGGTGGTATAGTTTAGTGGTACATGCCTGGCATGCCAGGCCTTGGGTTCAATCCCAGCACTGCCAAAAACAAAAAAAAGTGAAACCATGAGTTTCACTGTGAGGAGACACTGACAAACTCAAGTCAGAAACACTGTACTCTAACAAGAACGCCCTTAAGGGGGCTGGGGATTTAGCTCAGCGGCACAGCGCCTGCCTGGCAAGCGTGAGGTTGTGAGTTTGATTCCCGGTACCGGAAAAAAACCAAAATCAAAAAACCCCCAAAAAACAAAAAAACAATGCCCGTATGAACTGTCAGTGCCACGAAAGAGGAAGAAAGGCTGGTCACAGTCTGAGATTAAGCTAAAGAGACACAAGTAAGTATGTAAGAACTTGTCTAGATCCTGGATTGGGAAGGACAATTATGGCACAACTGGTAAAATTTAAATAAATTGTACACTATTATGTCAGGATCAAATTGTCTCTTTTGGGGGGCAGTACTGAGGATCTAGCCCAGGGCTTTCACACTGAGTTACACCCCAATCCCTTTTTGTTTTGAGAGAAGGTCTTGCTAAGTTGCTAAACTGCCCATGCTAGGCTTGAACTTGAGATCCTCCTGCTTCACCCTCCCAGGTGTTCGCCACCATGCCAGGCTTAACCTTCAGACGGTGTTGTGGCTGCTTCCCAGACATGCTGGTTCACAGACTCACGCTGAAATGGCTCAGCACACAGTGCATGACGTCCACAACTCTCAGGTGGGTGAGAGGAAAGGAAGTGCAGAACGATGACAAGGAAATGGGGCTAGAAAAGCTGCGGCCACGTCGTGGTTTGTCTCGGGGACCCTGCCCCAGGCCCCCGCCGAGGCTCACCTTCTTCAGCAGGCACAGCGCGTTTGTGTGCGGGTTCAGGAGCAGGGCGAGCGGCTGGGACAGGGCCTCCTGGTACTGCAGGCAGCAGGCGTAGAACTTGCTCCAGAACTCCTGCTGCAGGCTGCGGAAGTCCTGCTGGGAGAACTCGTACTCCGTCACGCTGCCGTGGAGCTGCAGGGAGGGAAGAAGCTGCCCTTTGGGAGCCGTCTGGGAGCTTCCCCCTGAAAGCCACGACTGCCCCCCCGGACTTCACGAGCTCCAGTCCCATGGGCAGTGCGCGTCCGCTAAATGCCGCTGGCCGGCAGCCCGTGGCTGCTCCTCTAGCCAGAGGTTCAGATGTTTACCGCCCACACGGACGAGGCTGCGCCAGGGGTCCTCGCCATCCCCAGAGCCCTTCTGCCCGCTGCGAAACTGTGAGAAATGAGGCCTTCTCCACCCAAGCCTCACCTCGGTCTCCACAGCTAACGTGACTTCTTTCTTTAGTTCACTCCAAGAAAGATCCCAATTCCTCTCGGTTCCTCGGCAGAAAATCTACAATTAAGAGCAGAGTTGCAGAGAATGACACGGCACCCACACCCGCATGCCACATACTCCAGCTGAGAAGGTACTGAGGCACTGTCCAACTACATGGTGGAGAGCAGGCGTGCCGGAGAGACCTGGGGACACTGCACAAATGATTTCTGAGAGGAGTCCTCGCAATTTCACTGTCGTTTCTATAGGGCAGAATAAGCTCTGGAAGCACAGGAGTCAGAATTATCATAGAGTGGTTTGGGTCATCACAGAAATGGAATAAGCGCTACTGCGCAGCTGGAAGGAAGATGCAGCTGGCACTAAGCACACAGCCTGGGACAGCAGGAGGCTAGAAGAGGGGCGCAGCCGGGGAGCCCGGAGCCCCAGCCTCTGGGAGGCCCAAGTTCAGTCCTGGATGCGAACTCGACACCCCTGTCTCGCAATAAAGATGGCTTGGCATGGAGCTCAGCGTGAAGGCCCCAGGTTCACAACCCCAATTCTAACACACACACCACACCCCCCCCACAGCCAGAACAGTGGCTGTGTGGGGTGCTTGGGAGTGACCCTTCTAAAGCAAAGCATTTGATAAAGGCTTCACAGATGATTTCATATCCCATCGTGTAAGAGATTCCGTGAGAAGCAGCATGATACTTAATTACTGTTAACAAGGAGGATGCGCGGGTGAGCTAAAAGAAAACACCCTTAGCAAGGGGCTACGTCTCCCCCAGTTTTCTCAGAGACAAGAGAAAACGTCAGAGCCAGACTCAGGACACCTAGGAGGAAAGTCAAGGGCCCAGAAGCTGCCTGTTGCAGTCGGCAGAATGGCGCAGCGGGGTCCTGAAGCCGCGGGCCGCGCGGTTGTAGGGAACGGGCCGCGCGCTCCGAAGGAGGAGCCACAGGAGGGCGGAGGCGCAGTTAGTTCACGTGAGGGAAGCGCGGTGAGAACAGCGTGGGGCAGAAGCTCACACGCGGGCTGTGACGCTGGCTGGTGGAGGAGAGGCGGCTGGACGCCCAGCGCTAGAGGACTCAGCCCTATGAGCACGAAGCTCAGCAAAAACTTATGTCACTCAAAAAATGCTTTTGGAAGCCAGGCGTGGTGGTGCACGCCTGTAGCCAACTTCCTCAGGAGGCCAACCTGGGCTACTCATGTTTCAAAACATAAGAAGGGCCAAGGAGCCGGGTGTGGTGGCGCATGCCTGTAACTCCAGCACTGGGAGGCAGAGGCAGGACGACTGCTGCACATTCAAGGCCAGCTGGACTATATGGTGAGCTCAAGGCCTAAACTACACAGTGAGACCCTGTCTCCAAAGACAAAAAAAAGGGGGGGTGCCCAGGGCTGATGCTCAGTGTTAGAGCACCTGGAGGGGAGCCCTGCTATTACGAGAAAGAAAACCTGCAACACACTAAGCAGCTCTTACACTGCGTGACTTAGATGCTAACAAATATCAGACATCCACTGTTCTAAAAAAGGGGAAAAACAGTATAATCAAAATCCCCCCAAAGCCAGGCAAGACCGCGCACACCTGCAATCTCAGCACTTGGGCGGCGGAGGCGGAAGGTCAGGAGTCTGAGGCCAGCCCGGGCGACACAGCAAGTTTCAGGGCAGTCTAGACTGCACAGTGAGACCTGCCTCGACCTAAACAAGAAACCCAAGCCACTGCGCACACACGAAGCCTCTCCTGCCCCTGACGGCTTCCCAGCCTCGCGCAGGGCTTTCACTCGGTGGAAGGGACATTTAGAGTCATCACCCTGGCACCTGCACACAAACATGTTCACTATTTAACACACGCACAACAGAAGAGAGGGTCCAGTCAGAAACAGTCTCAGGCACAGTGCTGTCTCGCTGACCTGTAAGGCTCTGCATAGCGCTCCGCTGAGGAACCGGCCCGGCGTGAAGAGACTCCGCAAATAGATCTCCTGCGGGAACACGGAAACGGTCGTCAGTGCCATGCTGAGAACAGCCTCTGCAGGGCTCCACAGCGGCCTGGGCCGGGCAGCTGCGCGGCAGGCGGGCCGTGTTCTCTCACAGTCACCTGCTGTGCCTACTGCGCCTTGGGACCGCGCGTGGCCTCCCTGGTCCCACCCAGAACAAGGCCGCTGAGGGCCAACCTCATGCGCAGATGTGGACCCTGCGGCCTGGGCATCCGTGTTGCTGAGACAGCAGTGAGGCCAACCTGATCCCAGCTGCGTGAAGCACCTGCTCCGCGGCTCACAGGACAGGGACAATGGCAGTAGGGATTACAGGTCAGCAACACTCCGACACGAAAGGCTCTCCCAAGTGCGAAAAGGAAGCAGACAGCGAGGTGGAAAAATCTCCTGCTGCCTCATCGCTTTTGCCAACTCACAAGCCAGACCTGCCCCCAAGCAGCAAATCCGACCGCCCTCCATGCATGTGCTTTCCTTCTGAGCTCTCCATCACAGGGACTGAGTAGGTCCTCGGCAGGAAGGGGCAGGGGTGCCCTCTAGGAAGCGGGCAGGCGTGAGGTGCTGCTCTGCTGCCCGGGAGCCTGGGCTCAGGAGCGGGCTCTCCAGGAGGCCGCCTGCACACGAGCACCTGAGTAGCTGTGTAGGCTGCGTCCTTCTCCCCGCCCCAGCCCGTTCAGGGCACCCCAGCTGAGAGTGCTGACTAATCCTCGGTGTCTTCTTCATCCCAGCTCTTGTTTAAAAAGTTGGTTATAGAGAGGCCAGGTCTGGTGGTGCACACCTGTAATCCCATAGTCCCAGCACTCTGGGAGGCCGAGGCGGGAGAACTGCAGTGAGTTTGAGGCCAGCCTGGGCTACACAGTGAGTTCAAAGCCAGCCTGAACTAAAGTGAGATCGTGTCTCAAAAAACCAAAAAAAGGTACCTGGAATGGGTTTCATTTTGGCAGATTGGTCCGTCATGCCACCTATTTTAATCACTTTCACCCCAACCGGGTCCTCTCAACACAACAACAAAGGCAAACCACACCCTTACACACAGTGCTGGGCTCACCCTGGGGTCCTGGTCATCTCTGATGAGGAGCTCCTCCTCAGGCAGCGGCTGCATGAAGACCGGATTCCACTGGCCCGCCACGTTGCTGCGGAGAGAGGTTACCGCGCTCGCGTGTGGGCAGCGTCTGGGCACAGCCAGCCTCAGGGAGGAACCCCCACCACGCCACAGCCAGTCTGCTACGGACACAGGCGCGCTCCCTCCGAGCACTGCTCTCAGCCCTGACCCGGACGTGCTCCTCACTGAGCGCAGCCCCCGCCCTCACGGAGCTCTGACACAGTGGCAGGCTGGCCTTGCCTTAGATCCTTCTGCCTCACCCTGCTGAGCAGCTGGGATTACAGGGGTGCACTTGGGATGCTGAGGAGGGGCATCCCTGCAAGTTTAAGGCCAGCCTTCTCTGCACAGTAAGACCCTGTCTCAAAAAACAACCAAAAAAAGTCAGGCGTGGTGGCGCACGCCTGTAATCCCAGCAGGTGGGAGGCTGAGGCAGGAGCACTGTTTCAAGTGTGAGGCCAGCCTGGGCTACACAGTGAGTTCAAGGCCAGCCTGAACTGCACCGCCAGACCCTATGTCAAAGGCAAAACAAATAAGCAAAAAGACCTGAACCAAAACCAAACCCTTACATAAAAAGTTTTTAAAATGTATCTGTAAGCATTAAAAACTTTTAAGCTAGGTGGGCACAGTGACCCATGCGTGTGATCGCAGCTCTTTAGACTCTGATGGGACGACTGCAAGTTTAAGTCCAGCCTGGGAAACTTGAGACCCTGTAACAAAACAAAATAGTTTAAAGAGGCTTGCCAAGGCACAGCACTGCTCTTCCAAACATGGCGAAGCCTGTGATCCCAGCACGCAGGAGGCTGAGGCGGGAGGATGGTTGTGAGTTCAAGACCAGCCTGGGCTACAAAGTGAGCTCAAGGCAGCCTGAACTGCATAGCGAGACCCGGTCTCAAAATGGCAAAACAAAACAAAACAAAACCAAAAAAAAAAAGATGGGGCGAGTCAGGAATGTGCAGTCATTTTCTTAACACATGCCTATTGCTGTGGAATTGCTTACTCCTTGGGTTCAAACGCCAGGACCACAAACAAAACTACTCACATAATATGCTGAGTACGTCTAATATCAGAGATTACCGACACCTTACACTGTTCTTTTACACTCAGAGTAGCAGTTTTGCTTTATCTGATTTCATTTCTTCTGAGAAAAGAAAATAAGCTTCCCATTTTAAGAAGTTTGAGATGTGTTCTTATGCAATCCAGCGCTCATCTCATGATGAGAAAACTGAGAGGACGAGGGGCTGCGTTTAGGAATAGTCTGCTCAGAAGTAAAGAACATTGCTGGGTTAGCAGTGTTGGATGTGTGCCGCCTTTCCTTTAAGAAACATGCCATGTTCCTTATCCTGGTCCAACCTTTCATAGGGTCAAGGTGGGAACCTTGACCTAAAACAAAGGCAGCAAACACAGAACTACACAAAATGCAAAGGAAGGTATTGTAGAACACAAAAGCCTGGTGTGGTGGCACAGCCTGCCCGTGGTCCCAGCGCTCTGGGAGGCTGAGGCAGGAGGATCACAATTTCCAGTCCAGTCTGGGTTACTCAGTGAGACTCTGTCTCAATTCCCAATTTATACAAAAAGGCCTGTGGATGTGGCTTAGGGTGAAGGCCTGCGTTCATCTCTGGTACAACAAAATGAGCAAAATCCAGTTTCGAACCCTTCCTGTGAAAACCCTCGACTCGGTCCACACGGAGAGCCCCGCCCAGCCCAGGTGCCCGGCCGATGGGGTGGGGTGGGGCCCGTACTGCTCGAAGTTGATGTATTTCACCACGGTCTGGTCCTCAGCATCGTGCCACAGGGCCCAGACGTCCGTGGGCGTTAAGGCGAAGTCAACCAGTGTCTCCTAGGGAGAAGTGGGGAGAAAGCGTTCAGACCTGAAGGAAACGGCAGTGACTGACGCGCGGGGAGAGGTGTACACGCACACAAACATGGCGCAGAAACGTGACGCCCGAGTGAATAGCTGCACACACATCATGAAGTATTCCACAGAGACCGCCACTCCTGACACACAGCGGAGGCTCCTCGCGCTTCTCTTTGCTCGGTTGCTTGTGAGACAGAGACTTAACGTTGCCTAGGCTGTACTTAAACTCCTGCGCTCAAGTGACCTTCCCGCCTCAACCTCCTTCCTGAGTAGCTGGGACTACAGGCACACGCCACCCCGCCTGGCTCAGCCCACGCCCCTCGGCGCACTCGCGTGGCACGCGGGCTCCACCCACCTGAGAAGTGAAGAGTGAGGCGATGTGATCGAGACTGTAGCGGCTGTTCTCGGTGCTCACCAGCTGGAAAATGCAGAACTGTTCCAACATAAGGCGACAGCGTATTAGTTCAAACAGTCCGCACGTCACTTTCCTGAGCAGGGGTTACCCGCGTTCGGATGGGTCACTCTTTGCTTTTCTGGCGACACATCTGTACAAGCCAGGCTCTCCCCAAACACCGCAGCCATGGTGACGCCCAGTGGCCCTTTGCTAAACTGGCTTCGAAGGCACGATGCCCTCCTCTAAACTTGGGGGCGAGTCAGGACTGTACGGTCATTGTCCTAAAATATGCCTGTCATCGTGGAATTGTTTCCTCCAGTTAGTTTTAACTGACTACGTACACATTCCGAACACACACAGAGAGCCCACCTAAATAAAGCTTGCCGGGTGCCGGTAATCTCGCTGAGTGTAACTGAGTCCTGAGACCGAAAAGTGGAGAACCCCTCTTTTATGGTGGTGAACTAGCTGGAAGGAGCGGGAAGAGTGAGCCAGGGACGGCCACGGGAACAACGCCCCGTCTGGGCCTACATGCAGAGCACGAGGACGGCGTGGCCAGCCTGCAAGGTCCAGCTTCGACGCGTGGCTCAGCTGACCCGCGGGCCCTCACCTCTGAAAGCAGCTTCCCTCCGGCCTTGCGCCCCGGCAGGCCGGTCCCACGGCCGCCCGGCGGAGCAGAGCCAGGCTGCACCAGCGCGTTAGGGAGCCGCCGCGTGGGGCACAGAAGCTGGACAAGGGCTTCCTTCTGAGGAGGTTGGTGCAGGGAGACCAGGTAGGGGCGCAGCTGGCTGCTGCCCGGGGCTGGCACAGTGGCTGGCATCAGGGCCCAAACAGGGTGAGGAGGAGGCCTCACGGAGGGGCAGCCGGAGGGCCGAGTGCCCACAGATGGGAGGTGGACACCCAGCCGGGGACTCGGAGGACAGCACACAGCACAGGGGCGAAACCCACCCTGTGGCCAAGCCGCCAGGGCCCGCGGGGCTGTTGTGGGTGGGTGTGGAGCGCACAGCACCAGAGCCATGGTGTCTCACAGGCGGCTTTCATGGCGCGACGACCCAGGGCCCTGTACCCCACACGGCAACCCGAATCGGGCTGCGGAGCAGCTGCTTCTGGAGAGGACGGCCCTAGCACGTAGCACCCGCGTCCCAGGGCAGCGAGTCCAGCTCCCCACCCAGACTTCGAAATCTCCTTTCTGAAGGCTGAGTTCGCCCTCCCTTTCCTACTTCTTCAGGTTCTCCTCCTTGCGGCCTGGCCCGGCCCGGCCTCCAGGACCTTCTAATTCAGGTCCTAGGAAGTCTCACTATCACCTGGAAACAACCAAGAACCTGGAACCCTGGACACCGGGCACATGCAGAGCGCGGGAGACGCGGGAGCCCGGCTCCTTTCCCTCTAGGCCCTGCCTCCTACCTGTCCGCGCTGCGGAGCGTGCACGTAGGCGCAGAGGTAGAGGCCCAGGGAAGGGGAGTAGGCAAGGCGCAATCTGTGTCCAGTCCCGGCCATGAGCCGAAGGTCTTTGTTCACAGGGACGTACTCCAGCATGTCAGCGACCATCAGGCACATCTGGTCCTGTGCAAGGTGAGTCAGGGGGTGAGGCCGGCGTGGTGGCACATGCCTGTCATCCCAGCATATGGGAGGCTGAGGCAGGAGGACTGCCAAGAGTTCAAGGACAGCCTGGGCCACATGGTGAGTTCAAGGCCAGTTTGAACTACATAGAAGACCCTGTCTCAAAAAGCCCTAAAAACAAAACAAAACAAAAAACAAAACAAAACAAAACACAAAGACAGAACAAGATAACACACCTGTTGCTCTTAAATGAAAAGTATACTTTGTATTGTTCTTTCCGCTTTCTCGTAGGGCTCATGATTTTCAATATAGAAAGATAAAAAGCTGAGGGGGGGGATTACACAAAATGGACCTAAATGAAAGTGGATCTGGAAATGATCCATCACGTCCAAACCCACTGGTCAGATTATCCTTAAGGGAAGCAGCAGGACCGCTTCAGTTCCCTCAGAGGTCACAATCCACGCTCACGCAGTGACGGCAAGCGGAGCACTCACCTTACATGACCACATCCGTAGCTTGTGGTCCTGACACAGGGCAAACAGGAAGGCATCATGCTCAACGCAGTGGACAGCAAGGCTGAGGGCGCGGTTTGACGGCCCCTGATCGCCCCTACCAACAGAAGAGCAAGGTCCAGAGGCAAACAGTCTGAGCGCTAGAATTTTCCAACCAAGAAACTCAACAAAGCTGGGGTCACACATGTAATCCCAGCTACCCAGGAGGCTGAGGCAGGAGGATCACAAGTTTGAGGCCAGCCTGGGCAGCGTAGTGAGATCTTGTCTCAGAGTAAAAGGGGCTGGCGTGTGGCTCAGTGGTGGAGCACTGCCTAGTGCGTGAGGCCCTGTGCTCAATCCCTAGTACCAAAAGAAAATGTGTATAACACTATGAAGCACGCTCGTGGTGGACAGAGCAAAGGAGGAGAGTGGAGCGTGTACGTGCTGCTATCACACAACGGCACTTCCGCTGTCCTCAGGAGAACACGCAGCCTGCACAGCCCTCTCCCGCCCGCGCTGCACACTGGGCCCACTGAGCGGAGCCTGGAAGCGCTGCCAGGCGCTGCCAGGGAGGAGAGGACTCAGGCCCGCCCGGCGGCTGGGCGCCACTCACCGGATGGCTGTCGGCATCCAGCCTGTGAGCAGTCGCTGCATCACAGAGCTCTGCTTCAGCTCCACGACTGACGCCGTCCCTGCAACGAGACCCCCAGCCGCCTAGCGCTCAGGATCCCAGGCAAGGAGCCTGCGGCCGCGGGCAGCCTCCGGCAGGTCTTCCAGGTGCCACACCTGGAGCACGAGTCCCACCCATCAGTGGCAGTGGCACTTCACACTCCCGGGAGCCACCCTGCCCTCTTTCCAATCAACCCCCGGGACCTCCCAGGCCAGAAGGCCAAGTGCTGGGACTCAGCGGGGACAGAGGCAACACCTGTCCTCACGGAGCCCAAGTCCGCCTCAGAGGAAGCGGAGCGAAATAGAGACAAAGCTAATGCGGGGAGGGGGGACCACTGCTGGGGGCACCGGGCACACAGTACGATGCATTCCAGCTCCCTACCCATATGGTGCCTGCTTGCCTACTGCCCACAGCCGGCCAGCGTCGGGCTCCTTAGGCCTGACCTCAGGTGGGTTTTCTTTTGTAACAGTAGTCCATTGGTAAATTTTTTTTTATTTTTTAAAATTTTATTGAGCAGCTGGGGATTTAGTTCGGTGGCACAGTGCCTGCCTGGCAAGCGCAAGGTCGTGAGTTCGATTCCCAGTACTGGGAAAGAACCGAAAAAAAAAAAAAATAAAATAAAATTTTACTGAATCCCCAGTACTCCCCCAAATGAACTTTTATTGGTACGTTCTGGATATCTGTGACGATCCCATTCATCGTGGGGAACCTGCACCGCTCCAGGACATTCCCCACTGCTTCCTCCCTCCCCTCCTGAGCCTGTTCTCACGCCACGCTTCCCCTGTCAACAGACGTTCACTCACCGGGTCTGTCATAAGGAGGTAGTTTGAGGATGAAGACGCCACCAGCGGCAGACGGGAGGGCGAACAGAGCCTCCCCGTCACTGCCGAGCCAGGCGGCCGAAGTGGCAGCGTGAGGGGACAGGCCAGGCACTGTTGGAATCAGCTGGTAGCTGCAGGGGTCCCTGAAGTCCACCTTCCCAATGTCAGTAAAGATCGACTGCATCTGGCTTTCCATTACTAACTCCTGGGGAGCCGGGAAGAGAGAAAACGAAAATAACCTGAATCTGCTTAGTTCCTCTCAAAAGCTCAGAAAGCATAAAAGAATAGTTGGGCCTAAGAAGAAAGCTGTTCTTTTAGAGAGAACTATTTTGTCAACTGAAAGTATATGTCTGATCATTTAAATCAGTAACTATCACAGTATGATTGCTGGGAACTAACAAGGAAGCTAAGTTTCGTCAGTCCCAAAGAATACTGCTCCAGCAGCGAAGGCGTGACTCCTCCGGGAGCTTGAGAAATACCAGACTGCAGCTGGACAACGTACGCTTCTGTACATCCGGGCAGGGTGGAGCAGAAGCAGCCTGTGCACGGTCTGATTGGTCAGAATCATGATGACCACGTGAGTCGGGGTCTCGGCCACGTGCACCCCGCCGGGCAGGATGCTGCAGTTCTGGAACCTGAGGCGAACCGCGTCGTTCAGCAGGTTGGTGTCCAGTGACTCCTCCACCAGCTCCACTGTATCCCCACGGGTCTTCCTGATAAAGAGAGGAGAGCACGTGCTAAAAGGGCCTACGCTTTTCTTTCCTGGTGACTACTACACTGAAACATAAGGAGACTCACAACAGAGGAAAACTGAATATTCTGGATAAACAAATGGACCATATTTATATTCCAAGTCACTACGTTAAATAGATTTATAAAACACAGCCTAACAAAACTCAAATCTATGATGCTGCGCATGCTACTGGGATTAAACCCAGTGTACTCTACCACTGAGCTCCATCTCCACCTGTTTACTTATTTATTTTTTTACATTTTAAAGACAGGTTCTCGCTATGTAGTCCAGGCTGGCCTTAAACTTTCAGCAATCATCCTGCCTCAGCCTCCCTATCGCTGGGATCACAGGCGTGCATCACCACACCAGGCCCACTGCCATGATTCTCAGTGGCTTCAACAGCCACGCTCCTCTAGCCTCCTCAGTTTCTCGCATTTTCTCTCCTTACGATCACACACATCCCAGCCACATCCCAACTGCATCAACGGGGTCCTTCCCAGCTGCCTGCAAAGTCCCGCTGCACCTCCTCCCGACCCTGCCATCTGGCTTTCCCTAGGGCACCACTCCTCCAAGGAGCTCTGCTGGGCCCACTCTACCAGGCTGGTGCCCCACAACAACCTCCGGGCACGGCAGCCGATTTCTGTCTCGTCTTACTGGACAGCGTTCGCGCTCCCTCTTGAAGCCCTTCCCTCGGCTTCTGGGCCCTCACTGCCGGTTCGACTCTCATCCCCGCAGCTCCTCCAGGCGCCTCCACTGCTTCCCGTGCTGCCTGAATGTCAGGGGGCTCCGTGATTGCCTTCAGCCTTTTCTGCATGTGGCTCTCAGCTGGAGGGGAGGCTGCCCTCTCCCCAGGGACACCTTGCAATCTACAGAAGGCCCTGGTCGCCGTATGTGGGGCATGAGGCAGGGGTGGGCGGTGTCACCGTGTGTGGCAGACAGAGGCCAGACACGCTGCTTGACCACCCGCAGGGTCAGCACCGCAGAGCTGTCTAATGGCAACAACGCCCAAACCCACACCTCCAGCCCAGCCGCTCCAGAGTCCCTGACCACCGCCCCAGCACGCTCCCTGCGTGTCTACTCGGCATCTCAAACTGAACCTGCTCAACGCAGAAGTCTCTGCTGAACTGGAGGGGGAAAACCCCACCAAAAACCCAAACAAAAGCTTGCTTCACGTTACCTACGCTCGGTTCGACTCGCTTACAGACATCTGGAGAACATCCACGCTCAAGCCACAGACCTGGGTCTACTCTGCATCGGAGGCCACACAGACACTAACAGACGCCCTGTGACGACGCGGGCCCTGGCACCAAGCCGTGTCTCATCTGTATTGCGTCCCTCTGCTCCCCCTTTCTCCCTCTTCCCTACGCTACTCTCGGCCCAGCCGCCAAGGCCAGCCTTTAAAGAGCACTGCCGACCTTCTGCACTCCCTCCCACCTCAACGCAAAAGTCAAAGCCTGAAAATAAATCACCAAGTTTTGTTCCCAGCCTCAGGCACTGCTGTCTTACTACTTAGCCTCTGTTCATTCCGCTGAGACACTGGCCCGCCTCCCTTTCCACATTCACAAGCTTCTCTCGGGGACCTCGGAGCTCCGCTCCTTTTCTACCTGAAACGTTCACCCCCGGAGAGCCTTTCTGTCTGCTGGAAGCTGGTGGAGCACAGGCCTGTCTGACCATCTCATGGAACACCCTGCCCCCAGGGTGTTGCCTTTCCTCCTCGTACCCCACTTCTTACCTGACGGCAACCTTAACTCTTTTTTATTCTTTAGACAGTCTTGCAACGTGATTCAGGCTGCCCTCAAACTTGTGGTGATCCTCCTGCCTCAGCTTCCCAAATGCTGGGATTACAGGTGTGTGCCACCATGCCCGCCCAGCTATATTTACTTCTTATTGTTACTTTTATTGCCAGTCTCTTTCCAGGCGAGCAGAACCTTTGTTTTGTTTTCTGCTTTACCTGTAGCCCCTAAACACTGACTAAAATATGTTACACAAAGTATACTTCTGAAATAACTGAGATTTGTAACTCTAACATAAGCCTCAAATCTGTACATTTCACTGCTTATTTGGTATTTCTGAAGGGCTGCACACAGGCACTTCAAATTTTGTATGTGGGGCCAGGGATGTAGCTCAGCAGCCCGGTGCCTGCCTGGCAAGCACGAGGTCCTGAGTTCGCGTGTGGGTACCAAAAAAAAAAAAATCTGTGTGTGAACAGAAATGATTTGCAACTCCCAAATCCATCTTCCATCTCGAAAGCGGCAGCCCCTTTCCTCCACAGCTGCTCAGTCACATCAGCTAAGAGCGGGCCGTCCTTGCTCCTTCCCTTTCGCTCCCCACCATCCATCCTGTACTCAGTTATCACCTAGCCCCAGTGAAACTAACTTGTAAGTGGTACCGGGAAATCGAACTCAGGACCGTGTACTTGCCAGGCAGGTATGTGTGCCGCTAAGCTATACCCTGGCCCTGTAAGTGTATTTTGAGTCCATCTATTTCTCTTGCCCTGGCCCAGTGGTGGCGAACCTATGGCACGTGTGCCTCTCAGTGGGCTTATTTATTTATTTTTTTACTGGCACTGGGAATCACACTCAGGACCTTGCATTTGCCAGGCAAGCACTGTGTCACTGAGCTACATCCCCAGGCCCCTCAGTGGGCTTTTTACATCACTGAAAAGTCCTAAAAGGTTAGCCATCCCTGTCTTAGCCACTTCCTTTTTTTTTGGTCTTTTTGAGACAGGGTCTCTCTATGCAATTCAGGCTGGCCTTGAGCTCTTTTTGTAACCCAGGCTAGTCTTGAACTCACAACAATCCTCCTGCCTCAGCCTCCTGAGTGCTGGGATTACAGGCATGCGCCACCAAGCCTGGCTTTCTAGCCACTTCCACAATCAGCATATATTACTTTGGCCATGATCAAAGCCAACTGTTCACCTGTATTTTATCTATCAACCCAAAATCCCTTTCCATAAAGTAGGCTGGTTTTTTAAAAACGCAGTTTTGATTATGTCAGTGACTCTCAAAATCCAAAATTCTTGTGGGGCGTGGTGGTACACGCCTGTAACCCAGCCTTCAGCAGGCTGAGGTAGGAGGATCGCCACAACTTCGAGGCCAGCCTGGGCTACATACTGAGTTCAAGGCCAGTCTCAAAAAACAAAACAAAACAGAAAACCCCTTAAAAATGGCCTGGAAGTTCCCCCACAGCCTACATCCAGTCTCTCTGGGCTGAGCATCTCATATCACTTTCTTTTACCTCCTGCACTTAAGCCACATGGACCTTTAGTGAGTTCCTCAAACCCATCAAGTTCTTCTCAGCCTACAGCTTTTACACATGCTCATCTTGCTATTAGACTGCGCTCTTCCCACCTGCAAGCCTGGCTAACCTTTCACCTCCAGCTCTCAATCTAAGTCTAACTTTTCACACACGTTTCCCTGAACCACCAGTAACACCCGACCTTCCCCTTAGCCCCCTCAAACCCCTACACTCTTCCTCTGGGGCAGGCAGGAACATCGGTATTTATATACCTACTTTTTGATCATGAACGTCTTCTCCTTCGTGAAACTGCCACAGGACTGGTGAGTCCACATCTACTCTTACACAGCTACAACATTTGCACTGAGAAAACAGTGGTTGATTTTATTCACCATTCCCCCCCAGGACCTACAGCAATGTTGGACATACAGAAGCTTAAACACAGCTGCAGAACGAAGCTATAAAGCCCACAGAAACATAACGGGCTCCTGTTTAAAACTGATCTTCAGGGCGTACTGTGTCCCCTAAACTATGGTCTCTCCACCCTGACTACCCCGGGGGGGAGACGCGAGACCCGCTTCTTGGAAAGAACTCTGCGCCTCACGTTTTCCTGGTTGTGACATGCACCGAATACGGTTTCTCTTGTGCTAAGTGTCCATCCGTCACTGCTTCCAGCGAGGACGCTTCGGGGACACGCGGGCACTCCCGGGCGGAACAGCCCCGCCACGCAGGGGGCGTGGCCAGCGCGGCCTTACCAGTGAATGAACCTGTTCCTCGCGACGGCGAACAGCTTGCCGCTCTCCGCATAGTGGAAGCCCCCCGCGCTCTCGCTGTATTTCACCGCGCCCGGCGCGGCCGCCGAGGTCCCTGCGAAACGAACGTGGTCAGCTTGCACCCGGGCCCCTCTGGGATGCCGGCACCGAGGGCGCAGGGGAAGCAACCGCGACGTCCTGACAGCCCGGAGGCCAGGGGGAACGGAGGGGGAAATCAAGTCGCCGGGGAGCAGGCAGCAAGTGCAGGGACCCGCAGGCGAGCTTGACATGCGGACTCGGGAGAATGAGCTGGCCGGTCAGCGACCCAGGGACCCGGGGGAGGGAGCCGAGAGGAAAGCCCGGAGCGCGTCCTGGCACAGGGCACTTCCTTACCGAGGCCGCAGACTGTGAATTCCCGAAACTGTCTCAGCCTTTCTCGCTCAACACCACTGAGCTCCAAGAAGCTCCGTTCTAGGGCTCCCGCCGCCGCCATGTTCCCGCCGCTGCCGCAAAGCCCGAAGGGAAACGGGCGGGCCGTGTGTTGTCGTCACTTCCGGGGCGGGGCGAGACAGGGCTACTTTAAAGGCCGGTGTGGACTCGGGTCGCCCGAGCTTCTGCGACCACCGCGTGCGTGTGGGGTGCTGCTCGATGGCCTCTGCCGGTTCCGACCTCGCGGTCGCCTCTCACCCCCGTCTAGACGTCCTCCTGAAAGGCTTCTCCAGTCCCTCTGTCTTCCCTGCAGCGACATGTGGGAAGTGGGAGGGGAGAGGATAAGGGCTTTTGTCCCGCGCGCCGTCTGTGGAATGAATGGAACATGTTCAGTTAAACCTCGATGTCACGTCCTGCGAGGCTCCCTGCGTGCTACTCGCTTGCAGAGGGAAAGGAACCTGCCTTTCATACCCGCACCCTGCAATCCTAATTTTGGCTGTAAAATGCAGTAAGGGTATTGAGTGGACCTCTATTTTTTATTTATTTTTAAATTTCTTTGTGTGGTACTGGAGATTGAACCTAGGACCTTTGCACTGAGCAACACTCCCACCTATTTTTATTTTTTATTTTGAGACACAGTCTCACTCATTTGCTGAGCTGTCTGGGCTGGGCTGGATCCTCCTGCCTCAGCCTCCCAGGATGACAGGCATGTGCCCTGGTGTCCGTTTGTAAATTCATCTTTTTTGGGAACTCGGGCCTCTCCCCTGCCGGCCATGCCCACAGTGAGAGGATGGCCTTTCCTCACGGTGACCTCTCACAGGCAGTAGCTGTGCCCCGCCTGTTCCCTGGCCCAGAGGAAAACACGTCCTAGGGAGCCACTGCAGGCTGTGGAGTGAGGTGTTCGGGGAAGCGTCTGTGGTCTGGAGGGGACTTTGACACCTCAGGAGCAGATGCTCAGTGTTGAGGAAAATGCCAATTTCCAGGACGGAAGTTTCTTTCCGCTTTAACGTCATGCACTTCGGCAACCCAGCGAGGGAAGCTGGTCTCTGTCGCTCTCCTCTCTCACGCTGTTCTGACCGTTGCACCATCTTCCTACCCAGCTCCAGCAGTGCAGTTCCTGCCTCCTCCCTGCCTTCCTCGCCCCCTCCATGCTCCCTTCCGTCCTGCTGAAATTCCATTAAGCGCCTCCCTGGCCTAGCTCTTCCCATCCCCTGGTAAAAACTGCAGCTTTGATTCCATCCCGATCTGTAGCTGGATGTGGCTGGAGAAAGGCTGCACCATGAGCCAGATGTGGTGGTGCACACCTGTATCCCCAGCACTTGGGAGGCTGAGGCAGGAGGATTGCTGCGAGTTTGAGGCCACCCTGGATTGCACAGTGAGTTTAAGGCCAGCCTGAACTGCATAGCAAGACCTTGTCTAAAAAATCTTTAAAGGACCGAGAAGAGAGGTTAGACGTAGGTGACACCATTCAGTGTGAAGGTGCTGGGTTTAACTCCCAATACTGGCAAAAAAAAAAAGGGCCATGAAATCAATCTGCATGTTTATATTCACGCTTCTTTTCTTTCTCAGCAAAGTGATTGCTAAATGGATGAAACATCTTTCAATTTCCCTGGAATCTGGGAGTTCATTTTTCAATAATCTCTCTTTTGGTTTGTTACTGTGACCTCATTCTTCCCTGATTCACTGTCCGCCAGGGCCTCGGGAACTCAAAGATACCCAGTAAATGTTTGAAGGGTGACTAGACGTGGAATATAAGCACATAGGAACCCAACTCACCAGTGTGCTCCTCGAGGGTGACAAAGATCGCCTCCTGCTGCCATCTAGTGGTGACGCTGTAAATTCACTTAGAAACAACGCAGGATGCTGTGTGTACAGATGTGTTTGTCTTCTGACACACCTTTCGGAGAAGTCTTTGTCTGCCTGATGCCCCCTTGCAGGCAAGTAACAGTGAACAGTCTTGTGAACTGAACTTTGAAGCAGATTTTTTTAGATGAGCCTGGTGGCACACGCCTGTAATCCCAGCACTCGGGAGGCTGAGGCAGGAGGATGGCTGGGAGATCAAGGTCAGCCAGGGCTACAAAGTGAGTTCAAGGCCAGCCTGGACTACATAGCGAGACCCTGTCTCAAAAAGAAAAAGAAAAAAACCCCAAGTATTTCATGATACGGAGTAAGAGCCTGCCACGCTCCCAGGCACTGAGACACCGCCTGGGTCTCAAAAAGAGCCCCTCCTCCCCCACCAAAAAAGCAGATTTTTGGAAACAAACTTAAGAGCTACCCCTTGAAAGAATTTCTTGGTTTCATTCTAGGATATGACGATAGAGCTCCGGAAGTCCATCAGCAGGCTCTGTGAAGACCTGGGGAGCCTGACGCATGGATGACGGGATCTTTTTGAGGAGCGGCTCCCCTGACCCCAGGTCTACAGGAACACTGGGGCACAGGGCCTTGCACTGGCCGGGTCGGAATATCTACCAGGATGTCCACGGTGTCCTCCTGACTGCTGAGCCTTCGCCCGCCTTCACAGCCACAGCCTGGGCGCGGTGAATCCCAGGAGCCCTGGACTAAGTCAGTGATCACAGCTTGCGTTTATACAATGCAGAGGCGCTGTGCAGTGTGTCAGTGCCTGGGCGCATGGCAGGCTCTTACTCCATATCATGGAATATTTGGGCTTTCTCTTTTCCTTTTTGAGACAGGGTCTCGCTATTCAGTTCAGGCTGGCTTTGAGCTCACTTTGTATCCCAGGATGGTCTCGAACTTACAAGGGTCCTCCTGCCTCAGCCTCCCGAGTGATGGGATTACAGGTGTGCGCCACCGTGCCCAGCCATGAAATATTTGTTGACAGCAGAAAAACGTCACCTCCCCTGCTTTGGGGGTTCTCAAGGTTTAAGGCGGCGACAAGGAGACATGGAGATCACAGCAGGATCTGACAGTTATTGTGAAAGGTACAGAAGAAAAGGAGAGAGAGCGTCCAGACAGAAGCCTTCAAAGCTGAAAGGAGAGTGGGGTGCGGTGGCTGAGGAGGCAGGACGTGGTATGCAGCCGTCCCTTCTTGGAGCATACTTGGGCCTTAGTTACCCGGCCTGCCCTCCAGCTCCACCAGAAGTCCTTACAGAGGTACTGGGAATTTTTGTAGATGTGATATATAAGAGGCCCGGTGTGGTGGCGTATACCTGTAATCCCAGCACTCAGAAAGCTGAGGCAGGAAGATTGCTGCAAGTTCAAGGCCAGCCTAGGCTACAGAGTGAGCTCAAGACCCACCTGAACTGCAAACCCTGTCTCAAAAAAAAAAAAAAAATTTGGTGTAAGATTCTCCACTTAGGGGGCAGAGCTGGAATTTGGTAGTCTGCTTAGCAGGTGCAGGGCCCTGGGTTCTCTGTCTTGGCTTGTCTTTTTTTCTTTTTCTTTTTTTTTTTTTTTGTGAGATAGGGTTAGTGTAGGCTGGCCTTGAACTTGATTATGTAGTGCAGGTTGGCCTCAAAGTCAGAGCCATCCTCCTGCCTCAGCCTCCTGAGTGCTGGGGTTACAGGCATGTGCCAGCATACCCGGCTTCTGTCTTTTCTTTTCATCCCAGAAAGTTATTTTATTCCTTTTGCCAATCAATCTGTAACAACTGCCTTCCCTCCAGAGGTTCCCCTTATTCATCTGTCACATGGACGAATGTAAGTAAATTTCACGTCTAAATCTTTAGGATTCTATATTCAGAAACAAACCCCAGCACTCAGGAGGCTGAGGCAGAAGGAATGTTGTGAGTTTGAGGCCAGCCTGGGCTACAAAGTGAGCCTGAACTGCATAGTGAGACTCTGCCTCAAAAAAAAAAAAAAAAAAAAAAGAAAGACACAAGTCTACACTTAGGAAAAGGCTGAGGAAGGGAAACATATTAGCACATTTGAATGTCTGCTTACTGGGCCGGCTATGCCTTTCTTTGGCGGTGCACAAGTAGTCACACCATAAGCGGTCCTGCCCAGCTGGGGGCCATACAGTCGTTTTTAGGTTGACCTCGGCAAAGGGCACAAGGTTCGCAGGCATTAATGAGAAGTAAGAGTTTGCATGTTCCTCTTTCTCGTGTCTCTCCGCTCTCACACTGGCTCAGCTTCTTGGCCTCTGTAAGTAATATTACTAGAGGTTGGTAACTGAAAATAATTGTCACTTTCTTGTGGTTTGGGCTCTCCATTTTTAGCAAACCCTCCCCTCCAGGAAAGAATATTAAGAATAGTTTTGCTTTGTTTTTTGAGACAGGGTTTTGCTACGTAGTTCAGGTTGGCCTTGCACTCACTATGTTGCCCAGCCTGGCCTGGAACTCACAGTGATCCTGCTGCCTCAGCCTCCTGAGTGCTGGGATCTTATGTGTGTGCCCCCATGTCCAACCTAAGAATATTTTCTTTTGACTCTTTGAGACAAGAGCTCACTGTGTAGTTCAGGCTGGCTTTGAGCTCACTTTGTAGCCCAGGCTGGCCTCGAACTCACTCCTGCCTCAGCCTCCTGAGTGCTGGGATTATAGGTGTGTGCTACCACACCCAGCTCAACCTAAAAGTATTTTTTTTTTGTACCAGGAATCGAACTTGCCAGGCAGGTGCTTGTGCCACTGAGCTAGATCCCCAGTCCTCGACCTAAGAATATTAAGAATTGTATTTAATTTAATTAATTAATTAATTAATTTTTAAATTTTTTTTCCGGTACCGGGAAACAAACTCACGACCTTGTGCTTGCCAGGCAGGTGCTGTGCTGCTGAGCTAAATCCCCAGCTCCTGTATTTGATTTTAAATAAAACCTTTATAAATAGTTTAAAAAGCTGAAAGTTAAGTGCTGGGTGTGATGGTGCACGTCTGTAATCCCAGCACTGGAGAGGCTGAGGCAGGAGGGTTACAAGTTCGAGCCCAGCCTCAAAACTTGGTGATCCCACACCTGCGACTTGGCGAGACCCTGCTCAAAATAAAAAGTGAACAAGGACTGCGGATGTGGCTCCGTGCGAAGGCCCATCCCCAGTACTGCAAAACAAAGAGACAGAAAGTAGCTTGGGTGCCGTGGGGAGCGATGGACACTCATTCGCACCGAGGCGCTGAGGACCTATGAAAGCTTAAGAACTGGCCCTTCCCAGGGGCCGGGTGTGGCAC